GCGGCTTATGTCTATGCCATATTGTATTCTCACTTTGCCATATTGTATATCCTCACTTTGGTGCCCCACCTTTCTCTGTGACAGCAATTCCTTCTGTTCACTTTATTATCATGCCATTGTTTTCAGTAAATTTAGGACATGGGGTGCTACAACAACACTCCGCTGAGGAGGATCTGCCTCAAACAGTCAGTAGAGTAAGACTACAGTGCTAGCCACAAAAAGAGTTACAATCTAGCAGCTATTGCTCTCGGACAAGGACACAGTGACATTGTAGTTGTCACTTAATAACTTTGGGATTCGAAAATGTGAAACAGTGTGCACGGCTGAGCTTCCAAAAATGTTGTTCAGCTCACTTCAATTCAATTTTGTTCAAATTTATAATTGAAGATGTAAAATGGGTTCTACTGAAGAGCTCAGAGACTAGATATATATTTTTCAAAATCTTTGGATAATTAAATTGTTCAGATGTTAAAGTCATTCAAAGTGGTTTGGTGTGAAATGCTCCACTCTAGAGACACTTAACAAGTCAGAACTGTGCACAGTGGTAGTGATAGGAACCAGATGTCATCAAACCAGAGCTTAATGCCTCTAAAAGCTGCCTCAAAGAAAGTTATTACCTGAAATCGGTACGAATACGCTGCCTGATGTCTGAGACATTGTTTTACGATTGTTTTGAGATAAAATGGATGTCTGTTCTTCAAAAGTATAATGTGTTTGAAGATGTACACGTCATGGACACTAACTGGGATATCTCCAGCCATGGCATTCAAATTAAGTTTTAAAAATAGAACCATATTTTTCATAATCAAATATATCTTCTGTTTGTACAGCAAATTAATTCACTCACTCTGTGTCTTTGTGGGAGCGTGCATTCTTTATCTCTTAGCATGATTCAGTATCCACAAATACTTTGTAATTATAATGTAACAATACAAACACTACTGGATAATCCACTAAATCAGTGGTTCCCAAATTGTGGTATGCGTACCCCCAAGGGGACGTCAAATGACACTGAGGCTACGTCAAAAAATTCTGACATTAATTTTCATTTAATTTCATTTAACCTTACAGGTGTTCTAACAATCTGTCTTACCCATTGAGTGGTCCTACTGAGCATGTGCACATCATAACTACAGCGTAGTAACTTGTGTTTTTACTGTAAATTCAGCCTTATCTCAAGTCTATTGTACAGACTCAGCTTAATATTGCTCCTTAGATTGAGGCCATCAAAATCCTACCTACACATCTTAACACTGGCAGCATTTTTGATAAGGTGATTTAGGCTATCAAAGGATAGCCATATTGTATATGCACTACAGTAGGACTTTTCGACAAGGTAGCACAATTCATCAGCACAGTTACACAGACACTCATACGGGCGAAACAAACAGCTTCCAGCATACAGTGAACTGGTGCGCTAATAGTTTGGTATTTTAGTCTTTTATTGTAAAAGGTGGCAATAGAGAAGATGTTTCACTGAGGCCTCTTCTGAGCACTGCGCATTCAGGAGAAACTAACAACAGTAGAGTTAATTCAGTTAAAATCCCTCAGTGAGTATCCTTTACTAACTGTCATTAAGGTCTGTATGATGCTTGCTATTCGTGTACTTGAGTTAGTTTCACTTTCACAGATGTGGTTTTGTTTGTGGCTGCAGTGAGTTATTAGTTTGTAGCTACTGTGATCAGCACTTAGCCATTGGCATTTTGGTTACATGTTTGTGGCAATGCTTCATGTATGTAGCTCTGTTAAATGCTGAGTAGACTATGTTACTGTGATATATGCAATCTGTGGGTGTGGTTTCACTTGCTGTTCACTTTACAGCTGTAAACGCTCTCTCCTTCACACACACACACACACACACACACACACACACACACACACACACACACGTGCCCTCATTATTGATGCTGCAGCCTTTATGGTTACAAATAAAGAAAGTTCATCTGCCAACCTGAGCTCTGACAGAAACTCCAGACTGACTCACAGCTAAAATACAGAAACAGCCCAAGCAGTATTTATTTATTAAAGCATTTTGAGGTAAACATTAACAAAACTGTCTGTTGCACACTGTCAGAAAAAAAAGGTTCTGTGTAAGTACACATTTGTTCACCAACCAACAATGCAAATATACCCTCAAAGGTACAGTAATGGTTTTAAAGCTCAATGACTCAATGAGTTATAATGGTCCACTACATTCACTGTCCCAGGGGAAGGGAAAATATGTACCTCTTTATAAACTTGATTTCAAAATAAAGTAAAAATCCTAGAGTCAAGATGAGGAATGTGTAATTACTGTAAGTTTAAAAATATATATAATTGCAATTTGAACATGGCACCATTTAGTTCCCTAACTAAAGGTCGACCTCAGTGACAGTTTAGCATCCTTTTTCTGAGAGTGTACATCTGGTGAGTTGTATCATCGCATCATAAACATATATATACTTTAAGATGGATTGATTTTAAAGGTCTAAATCTCTGAAATATGCACCATGGCAATAAACACATGTATGTGCGTATAAGGAACTAGAGGGTGTATACAGCAGGAAGTTTAATTTCTGAGGGGTACATGACCGTAAAATTTTAGGAACCACTGCACTAAAGAAAACAATGCACAAGGCTCTGCATGTTTTGCAAATCTCACTGTAAGTTGAAGTTGACATTGCAATGCAGTACAGAGCCATAGAAGGTTACTGAGGTACAAAAACATAAAAAATTATAGCTTTATACTTCTCATGTATGACTGTGATACAGAGCGAGAATCAAAGAGGCACCGACAAGCCCTTTTCACTTAAACAGTGTATCTCAAGCCCTTGATCAGTGCTAGCTGGGTTCAAAGGAACTACAGGCTCACAGCTGAACTACTTGAATCTTCTTCTGTTCACTTCTGTGAATTTGAATGGCAATTACAGAGTGAGTCACCACATCTGCTGCATTGATGGGACATTGTCGGCACGTCTGCTGCAGTTATGTACAGTATGTGGGGTTATATAATCATCAGAGTGGGTCACTCTGACCAGCAGTGGTGTAGCAGGAAGTGCCTCATGCAGCTAAACTGCAGCAGACAGAAAAGCCACAAAAATAGAAGCAGCCAGCTATCTTTCTTAGAGCGGAACTACACATAGGCCTAGATATAGTGAAACTAAAGACATGAAACCACAACAACTAACTGAATTTATCTTACAAGGTCTAAAATGTTTATTATGTTTTTTAATTACTGAAAACAGTTGCCATATTTTGGGTCAGTTTTCCAGACCAAGAGTAAGACTAAAAGTAAAATTTTTTATTGTTGTGAAACACTTTAGTGACAGTAAAGTCTATTAGTTTATAGATCATCCTTGTCTATGAAACCAGTCCTTTAGGTTTTAGACTGTTACTTTATGCATCCTCAGTTCTTTTGTTTTTTGACCAAATTCTTTAACAGATAAAACCAGAAGCTTTAAATAAAGAAATCTGGAGAAATGTGTAGAGGCTTATCATCCTCTAACAAAGTTTGTTCAACTCTTGCTATCTTTGTACTTCACCAAAATTACAGCCGGGATACAGGGGTGTAGCTAGAACTTTTAGAATAGGGTGGCCAGGGAAGAGATTTTCTTGTGGTGGCACATTGCTAGGGAAAAAAATAGCATTACTGGATTAAACTGACATAAAAAGTGATGCATTGTTTTTTCTCTGTACATACCTATCCATGTTTCCACATGAATAAAATAATACATCAACACAGTTATTGTCAAAAGTAAACTAACAGACAAAACTGTGTTGATGTTATGTATTCTAGTCATTCATGAGGAAATTGTGTATTTGAATTGGTAAAATTAAATCAAATCACTTTTCAGTGCAATATCAACTTTAAGGAAAAAAACATTTCATATAGATTGCTATGCTACATTATGAGCAGCACTGCTGAAGGACCCAGTGCACATTCACCTACCTGTTTGCTCAGGAAATTAGCCTATCACAGCAAAATACGTTAATTATTAAATGCAGCATCATCAGACTATTATCACCATAAAGCATAACTGGTGCTTTATCAATAATGGCTAACTGGTGATGGGCGGACTGTCTCACTTTCACCAATTCTAAGTGAAGTGGCCAAGAAGGGCAGCCATGCTTCTTTCTGGGAAACTGCCCACTGCGACCACCCCTTGGCAACACCTATGCAGTTATATGCGAAGATATAAAGGCGGGAAAAAATCTTTACATTTAGGAGTGAACCTCATCCACTATAACTGTTAAGGACGAAAGAAAAAAGAAAAAAGGGTCATCCTTGCTCATGTTTTGGAAGCTTACAGAGCCCTGCTGGTGACATCCTGTATAAATAAAAATAATGCATGGTCATGACTTAGTAAGGCATAAGAACAAGATAATTAAGTCATGGCCACGACTTAGTAGGGAGTGGGAACGAGATCCTAATGCGTGGCCACGACTTAGTAAGGTGTGGGAACGAGATCCTATTGTGTGGCTACGACTTAGTAAGGCGTGATCTTATTCCTGTGCCTTACTAAGTCGTGGCCACGACTTAATTATCTCATTCCCACGCCTTACTAAGTCGTTGCCACGCATTAGGATCTCATTCCCATGGGTTAATAAGGCGCATAAGTTTTATTTCTACGGGATGTCACGAGCAAGGCTCCGTAGAAGCTTTCACAACAACTCTTTGACGATCTGACTTCCTTTAAAGATTTGTGCGCGATCGTAATACACAAGCAAAAAAAAGCTGAGCGAACTAAAAAAACAGACAAATCAGCGAGTTTGTTCTGGTGGCAGCTGAGCGGCGTATTGAGACAGAGGCGGAACTGCTGGACTTCTTCTTGTGTTGTGTTGTTTTTTCCGCCCGTATTCAGACAAAAATGCGACTCCCGCACCGGGATTGGCTAATAGTTCACAGTCTCGCGCGGTGCGCCGACTAATAGCCAATCCCAGCGCAGAAGGCGAGATCCGAGCAGCCAATCGTGGCACAGCGGGAGGCGGGACTTATATGAAAACAGGTGGGGAAAAAACAACGCCTTCGGCTAGTGAAGTGACACTGATGGTAGATGGCCGCTCCACCCAGGACTAAAAACTGACACACACAAAAAAACTTTTTCCCCTTCATCTCACACCGCCTCGCCGCATCACTGCACATCTCGGAACCGCTCATGTGGGTGAGAGTCAGTTGTCACACACACTTTCACAACGTTTTACCCAGCTGACTTTTGATAAACTCGAGCCAAAAGAGTTCTTACGGCAAGAGTTTAAAAACTCGACCAAGACCATCTGAAAGAGAGCGTGGCGAGGAAACGCAGCAGGACATGGATATGTGAGACTCGCCGGTCAGCAGGAACAGACCAAGGCATCATGAGGCGGTACTCGTTCAGGTGGACGGTCCACGGAGCTCTCCTGGGTCTCTGTGTGCTTCTCCAGGTACGGCTTTTTCAGTATCTGTAGCATTTTCGAGGGGCTCACCGTGTAGCGCCCGTCAACGTTTGGAGTGCTGCACCTGTTACAGCATGTACCAGAGCGAGAGTCCAGACTAAACCGTCCTGCATGTATCTTGATAAAAGACTTATGTTAAAAATTCACTGTATGATGTTTCAGTGTGGGACAAATCTGACATTTCGGGCTGTTATTTTTGGAATTACATTAGACTGACCTTTGTCTGGACAGGCTCAGTTTAAAGCAGAATCCCAGTCTAAGGGGATTTTCCCAAATTTCTCCACAGTTATATTGTTCTGATGTAAGCAAAAATCACTCAGAGTGGTTTGATGTGAAATGCTTTGTTTAAGAGAAAACAAGCAACTGAATTGTTCACAGTGGTGGTGATAAGAACCAGACGTCTGAAAAGTTCAATACCTCTAAAAGGTGCCTCAAATAAAGTTATTACAAGTTTTACGATAGTTTTGAGTGAAGATTTTGGCCTGAAATGTGTTTTTTAGAATGCATCATGGCGGAGAGGTACAGGCAGAGTGTTGTAAGGCAAAATTGTCCCCAAAGAAAACTTTTTTTTTTTTTTTCAGATTTATCACTATTTTACCATCATTACCATTACATATACAAACCTAGAAGACACATATAGGTTCAGTGATCATTTTGGATAGTGAAGAAAGTGGCTCACAACCCCTGGTACCCATCACCACCAGTAAAGATGTCTGAGTTACTAAACTTTTCTACAATGCACCGTTTCACATCAAGCCACTCTGAATGACACTGTTCATATCTCAGTCATGGAGTTTTATACCAATTTTGAACAACTGGTGCAATTCCCACTTTAACTGTAGAATACTTTTTTAAAATAAGTACTAGCACACAACCTATAGCCTAGTATATATGATTTCATGTTTACTGCCATGGTAGTGGTAAAAGAGAAACAGTTCTCACCTGAACTTACACAAGTGTTGTGTTTTATGTAAACTGTGGGAAGCATTTTGGAAACAGGCACATTTACAGTCTCCATCAACTTATTCCATAATCATAGAATGACAACTGAAAGATGTTTAGTCCGTGCTGTGTACGCAACCTGCTAGAGAGCTGAGTTGTTTTGAGGGGTTTATAAAATGCTATGAAGTACTGAAGTCTACTGAAGGTTACCCAAATCCACTTCAGATTAAGGAACTGAAACACTTTATTTCAGTTGTTGCACTCACTCATGGTCCTACATCAGCTGCATGACCCCATAAATGAGTTCATTACAGCTGTCCTTTTACACTAAAAGCTATCGTGTGCTCACTTTCCTCCTAAATCGTCCTTTTCTTTGTTTAGTGTTTTCCTTATTTAGTCCACAAATACTTCAGGGAACGCTGCTAGATTTCTGCAACTGTTGAATCATTTTTCTATAAATATAGTAACCCCCACCACCCATTGTGTAAGACCAGTAATTTGAGTTTTTTAGTTTCGTTCCCCATGGACAGCGGGAAATGCTTTGAGATAAAATCACTTGTTCTTAAGAGAGGGGACTGTTGCATTTGGAAAATACAGCATCTAACGCATGTAATCTTCAAGAGTAAAGGAAGCTTTGCTGTAAAAAATGTAAATGACTTTACAAACTTTACCATGGAGAGAGTTCAGTCCACTTTACACAGGATGATACCAGAAATTAATGTGGTCACTTCCTCTGGATGTGAGCAGGATCACACTGTGTTCAGATGTTAGGTTGGTGTAAATGCAGTCAGGCATTGATCATCATTTCAGTCTCCACCAAAAATCATTCACCTCTCGGGTACCTTGTCGGTGTGTTTTTGTCAAACTCTTCTCTGAATAATGTAAGAAAGCTAATGTAACGGAATTGGCATTTAGTGTTCTCCTCCAAGCGTGTTGAGCTCCAATGGCTTCACCCTCCAGCTTGGTAGCATCGTGTGATGGGTGTGAATTGAACATGATTAAATATATACTTCTTCTTGTTTTTTTCTGACACCTAAGTGTGCACTGTTAAAACATATACTTCAAGTGTATTACGAATTATAGGATGTTCACAGTTTACCTAACAGAGCACTGGTCAGAGCCTCAGGCTGAAGGTGACAGAAGATGATGACTAATACTAAAACCTTCCTGACTGATACAAATACGTCTGATATTCTTTATTTTACTAAAATAGTAAGCTATAAAGCTAAAAGCCTTTATTTGAAACGCTTCACTTAAGGCTATACTATGTACGTTTTGAGGATCTGGTGGAAATGTGTAATTGCAAAAACGTGCGGAAGGATGTTTTGTAACATTGGTTGTGCTTTGGCCCCCTTCCCTGGGCAGATGAATCTGATGATTTTGAGCATGTTGAAAAAGTATTCAAAGACAACTCTGTCAAAACTTGGTAATGGACGTGGATGTGAGTGAATTATCTACTACTGTCATCATATATTAATAGTAAGTGCGTGTGACGTTAATATGTAAAGATGTATGGATGAAAGTAAAGATGTTGTCTGAAAAACTCCCCCAAATCCAAACAAACGCATTTGACTTTACAGGGTGATTTGCAGCAGCCATTGGACACATACTTTAGTGTGTTTTTTTTCTTCTAACTCAGTAATATGCAAAAGTAGGTAAACATCTTACAAAGTGCAGCTTTAAACTGCCTGAAAGTACTATGCTGAAAATGCTGAAACAGGCACTCTACTATTGTAGCATAGCCAACATCATGACTTGTAAATGTAACTTGTCTTTTATTCATTGAAATTCTTTCAAAAGACAAACTATAAAAAAATACAACTTATAGCACAAATGTGTGCAAATTTGGACTATTTAAAGTAGAGATGATGTGAACACCACTATTTCTTTTCTGGTACCTTAAGCAGCCCTTAAAGAAACCCTTAGCAGCTTTGAAATGAGCTATTTTTAATTCAAGCGGCTCACTAAAAAGCAGACTATCATGCTCAAACCGGCCACAGAATTGGATTGGATTCATTTTTACCCTCTGATACCCCATCCAGCATTTTCTGCTGATATCAACGTGATTCTGATTCCCATCAATACCAATATGCATCTCTCAAGGAACTGTAATCCTATTTTATTCTTAATTAGTTACCCTTAGTTCTTATGTTAATATGTGGATACTGTTATCACCTGACCCTCTTCACTTTGTGTTTTGTTGCACTACAAGCATTTGTAGGCTCAATTTTTACAGAATTTGATATTTTTTTTTAATTTACAGTCCAGCATTTTCTGCTGGTATTGGTCCAACACCAATACTGGGTTTCGGGACTGTGCCATCTTTAAAGATAACTTTTTAATCTGATCTCTGACTACACTGTATTGCTCAAATCACTGTTAAACATTAGGAACTATTTTCCGTGACCCAGATTACCTAAGTGTAGACTAAAAAGCATTTCCAATGGTGATTCACCACTGGCACTAGAATTCAGTCCAAGAATGGGGTTTATCAATGTCTAGGAAATCAGCATTAAAACAAAACATTAGTCACCTCTGTGACCGGGTCCAGACAATTTGGGGTGGGTCACTGGTAAGGGTGGTAAAATCTCAAGGAGTTTACATCACTTCTTTCCTGTTATTCTCCCTTTCTATTCGGTCTTGTCGCAACCTCCCAGTCTGGAGTCTACAAAAGCGTTTGTGGGGTTGCTAAGTGTAAAAAAAAATTAAGGCTTCTCTTAGTTGCTTTTGATAGGCGTTGGGTGGGTCTCACATGAAAAAAAAATCTGATTATTTTCTATATATGACTATATGGTACTTATTAGTTTAAAACATATTTCTCCTGTATTTGATCAGTGTTGACCAAAAACACTCCCAAGTAAAATGAAAATACCTTCCATTCTATGAAGAGGATAGAATCCTGATTATGATTATGATATGAGTTCTCATCCATTCTCTAAAGATGGAGGCATGGCAGTCTTTCTACCTCATTTTAATCCCTGGGTATCATAGTCCATGGATACTCAGTAAACCATGATGTGGGAACTTGACAGAGAGGAAAAGGTACATTGCTTTGCATAAATGCCCTATGAAAGGATGTTGTCACACTCAGACTCCTACGTCATTAGGGCAGGGAGGTTCATGTTTGTTCTAATATCTTTGGATCACCTTGCATTCTCAGAACATGTAAACTTTGCCTGTGTATATATAAGAGACATTTAGAGAACAAGCAAAAGCTTAATTTAAAACAAAACATGACAAACATTTACAGTCTAGACCTGATTTGTCCCAATGACAAAACATTTTATAATACTATTACTTTTTTGCTTTCATTTGCCTTTCTCATTTGCATAATTATCTGTTCATATATGGTTTCACCAGAACTGGGCACCTGACTTTTTTCCATGTGTAGCTGACATGGTTTTTCCATTTATAGAACTGCCAGTGTCATTAAAAAAATTTGCTGTAATTTGCAGTATTAAGCATATCTTATGTCCATCAGTGACCTGTGTTATGGTTTCATTTTTAACGAATTCAGGTTTGGTGAGTTGCAAACCACTTTTGGACCAGCATAAAAGAACAACAGTCACCCAGAATGTAATGTCCTCAGTAGCAACACATTCAAAGTGGCAGTTTAAAACACTCCTGCGTGACTCATTTTGTTGTTCACCTAATACTGTCTTACAGGACAAATAGTACGGCCAGCAACCGTGCTGTTTTAGAGTCATAGTCAAGGAAGTCAGTTTGTAAGGCTCCTTTATTTGTGGGTATTGCTGAAGAAGCGTGCTTTGTTGAGGCAATCAGTCTAAAGCTGCCTATCTGCAAGTGAAACAGATCACAGCTATTTTTGGAATTAGTGAATTTGCATATACTAACACTCTGTAGGCTATGTTGAGCTGACCTAGGCTCAACATGTGGATATGGCCAGCTCTTAACTGCTGGTGTTTTGTCTGTAATAGTTTATACTAAACTAAATGGGATTTTCCAAAGCATTTCCACAGCTTTCCACAGTTTTGGAATACTTGTATATGTGCAGTGGTCAGCAGTTTAGTGGTTTTTCTATATAA